CTATGAACGGACTGTTTGGCATCATTTGCTTATTATGAAAATAGCAGAACCACATAATGCATGCAAAATAATACAAGAATGCAAAGTATTGTTATAATCATTCGCCAAAGCAGGAGATATATTATTTTGAGCTTAAGAAGGAGTTACATGAATTTGAGTGTTATGAATTATTCAAATGCTAAAGAGGGGGGTATTTTGTGGTGTTGACATTAATAATAAGCTAAAAAGGATAAAGGATTGACAGTTAAATTTGTGAAGAAAGGAATTTGAAAAAAATGTGCTAGTAATAAAACATGGATATTTAAATATAGAAGCTAAAAATTTTAAAAATAATAAGGAAAATCAAATTACACTTGAATTAGTTAATTAATAAGCTTTATCTTAATTCACTGACCCAGCAATCACATAGTTCCATCAATTAATCCATCTCCAATTTATGAAAATAAATTATTAGGTAATTATTATTTTTTATATTTTTGCCTAAATATACAAAGAACATAGATTTTAGATAGCATAAAAGGACTTCAGATAATACCTTAGTAAAGTAATGTTGGAGCAATGGGGATGCCATTAAATAATATAATAAAAGTTATCATGGCTGTGGCACTAATGAATTGTGTGCATACCTCAATTGATAATTGTACAAGACATGTCCTCCCTCTTTTAGTGGATTTATTTGATCTTTTAACTTAAGATTGTTAGATGAGAGTGAGATATTTTATAGGATGTCTTGACAATTGGTTGGTATCATTGGTCTAGTTTGTGCTAGAAAGTAAAGTTGAGAGATGGCAACTAGGATAACAACTAAAATTTGGAGGAAAACCCAATGCTTTAATTACTTTGGATAAGATTATGAAAAAATTTAGGGGTTGTTTGGTCGCAACAAAATGAATGTACTGATTTATTTGCAATAGAAAAATTCAAGCATTTGGTTGGAAGAAAAATCAATGCAGTTTAAAATTTCAATATATTTGGAATTCATTTTCTAGTTCATTTTTAATATATTTAGAATTTACTGGATTTCAACGAATTTCAAATATACTGCTTTGTGTAAAGTGATGTCGCTCCCTGCTCATCGTCGCTGCGCTGTCATGACCCGACTCAAAAGCTTGAAATTTCCAAGACATAACGAACTGATGGATGATAAAATTACAGAATTCTTACATATATAAATATATGACACTCCACAATAACATTCAGCCATAAAAGAACCATTAATTACAAAATATATAAAACATCATCAAAACCAAAAATATAAGGACATTCAGTACATAATAATATAAAGCAATTAAAAAAATAAATATAGAAATAATATTATCTGATACCAATTCTCATTTAATCCATTTCTTCTATAGACAGTCTCTTATGTTAGTCATTTCAATTCATTGAAGTTTCTTTTGGAAGAAACATTTAATCACATAATACCTTTGAAAATAACACAGTGAATAATCATAGTTCTAGTATATATTAAACTCTTATGCATATGCTCCAACATTTATGTAGTCCAAAATGATAAAAAAAAATTAAATTTTGCTTTCATAAAACCTTTTTCTATGATTTAAAATCTTATGATATTTTTTAATATATTTTCATTTAAGAAACCATGTCATGATCATTGTCTAAAATGTTTGTACTAGTTAAGACAACTATTTTTATTTTCATTTTTTTCAAATATCTTTCATTATTGTTTTTGTGCATAAGTACAATAGCATTCTTAGCTAGTATCGTAACTAGGGGACTTCTGATTGACTTAAACTTTTAGTTCATTTGATTTAGGGTTAAAAATCAGATGGTTGAAGTAAGATGTTCTGACAAATTATTGTCAAAACAAATTGAAATTAAAATTTTGACTTTCTAAACTAGCATAAGTAGATAAAATAAGTTTGTAAATAAGAAAAACCAAGAAATAAAAACATTTTTTTTAATTTAAATATTATGGTTAAACATTTAAAATTATGTCGGTGCTTCCCTTAAAACCAACTACTGAATTTATCTCAAAATTCATTGTAATATTCTTCGCAATGCATGTTATCTATGAACTTACAAGAAAATCATCTTTTATCTTGTTTCACAACCTTATATATAACTACTTCTAGTACTGCTACCTGAGTAGATAAAGTTTTGACTTTCTAAACTAGCGTAAGTAGATAAAATAAGTTTGTAAATAAGAAAAACCAAAAAAATAAAAACATTTTTTTTAATTTAAATATTATGTTTAAACATTTAAAATTGTGTCGGTGCTTCCCTTTTATATTAAAACCAACTACTGAATTTATCTCAAAATTCATTGTAATATTCTTCGCAACGCATGTTATCTATGAACTTACAAGAAAATCATCTTTTATCTTGTTTCACAACCTTATATATAACTACTTCTAGTACTGCTACCTGAGTAGATAAAGTTTTGACTTTCTAAACTAGCGTAAGTAGATAAAATAAGTTTGTAAATAAGAAAAACCAAAAAAATAAAAACATTTTTTTTAATTTAAATATTATGTTTAAACATTTAAAATTGTGTCGGTGCTTCCCTTTTATATTAAAACCAACTACTGAATTTATCTCAAAATTCATTGTAATATTCTTCGCAACGCATGTTATCTATGAACTTACAAGAAAATCATCTTTTATCTTGTTTCACAACCTTATATATAACTACTTCTAGTACTTCTACCTGAGTACTAAAGTTTTAAACCCAAGATATCAATCTTTTTAGCTTTTTGTCCAACTCATTTAGTTTCTTGAATGCATAAGATATTTTTCTTTTTATGAACCATAATGTCTACTAATTTCTTTAATTTACCAATAAGAATACTTATATTATAAGTTTCTATCATAATATTAGTTTCATGTTTTAATATTTTTGCTTGCATTTGTCCATAATATGATAACTCTTGCTTATTTAAAACTAAATCCGAGCACAGTTGTGGCGACCCTTGTGTACTTTTTCACTGTATTTAGGTTATGCTACGTGTCGCTTTCAGGGACACCCTAACATTGATACATTGATTAAATGATTCATGACAAAGTTTTTTAACAAAAAAAATTAATACAAGTTGTTAACTGCCTAATGCAACCATTCACTTTTTACATCCGAGACTTGTAACTCGATAATGATAGTGTAAACATAGCGTGAAAGACTAAATTTCTCTTGAGAAGCTTTTGCATTGTCATCATAATGAAAGCGACACCAACATTAATCAGATAATCATCAATGTGTGTTTAACTTTCATAAAAATTCTTGGTGTGTTTTTGAGCATTTTATTTTCTTCTATTTATTTGCTTTTGATGATTTAAATTAGACTACAAACCTATTCCTAACAATAATTGTTTTGTTTACCACTATAAGATAAACTCACGTATTAAAAAGGCGTTTGAGGTGCACATCATTAGGTGTGTCTTAAATCAGAAATAATCATCAATGGGTTGAAATTGCATAAAATTCTTGGTATGCTTTTGTGCTTTTTGGTTTCTTCTATTATTTGCTCTTGATGATTTTAATTAAGGCACAAACATGTTCCTAAGAATAAGTATTTGGATGCCCCTATAAGATAAATTAATGGATTAAAAAGGTGTTTACAGGTGCACATCATTAGGCATGCCTCAACATGAAGTATCCAAACAGCCTTAGGCTTTCCCTTGAATGGTTTGACTGAGACTTACACTTTTTTGGTTGTAGCATACACCTTGAAACTTTATGCCTCGAGGTATTTGAGGTTGGTACCTTAAATTTATAATATAATATGAATTGAACAAAACTTTGTTAGATAATATTATGATATAATTAATATAACTTATAATATTTTCTAATTTTAGTTTTAAACTCGCTTTGATCGCCCTATTGATGGTTTATGTCTATATATACATATATATTTGTATGTATATTTTATAAAGGAAATCAGTATTTGGCAGAGGCCCAAATACCGATTTTCCATGCGTTAGGCCCCATGATGAGAGGCCCCGCAATGTGTACCCGTGACCTGAGGGGACATACAGTGAACCCCGCCAACCAACCAACAGACCACTACCTTGAAGTTTGCACCTCACTTTAAATGCCTTTGTTTCTGATTTTACCATTTTACAGCTCAGATAAACAACATTGGATAGTGTGCTTTTATAGAGGGAGTGTGAAGATCCGGAATTCAGTTCAATGAAATGTATTATAAATGTAATTGATGATTGTATGATCCATTCCTTTTTACATATATCCATTGGTAAATTAAAAGAGAGGCTTGGAACAATGGTTAGGTTGCCTACATTCTTATCTAGACGCCATATGTTCATTTCATGAGAGCAATTGTGTTGTGAGTACAAGGTTACATGCACCAACCCCTCCATGGACCTTGCACTGGTAGGAGGATAATGTATTGAGTATGGTCTTTACATGTTCATGGGTGTATTCGTTTGGTTTCCTGTTACTTGCTACAAATTCTAGTAAAAATTTGTCTTGTCGCAATGCAATTTTATCATCTCTCTCTCTCTCTCTCCACCCCAACCCCACAATCGGTCAATCACACTTTATGTTTCTTCAATCAAGTCAGGAAATAATCATCATTTCAGGGTGCCTAGAAAGAAACAATCTTATGTTTAATTTGAATTTAGCTTGCTCTATTCTTGTTCTCAAGTCCAATCACTCTGTAGAACTAGGGAAGGAGAGGGTGTGGTTGCCTTACACAGATCTTCTAACAGATGGCATTGCATAACTTCTCATGACTGTTATTAGAGAAGAATAAACAAAAGGATTAAGCTCTAAAAAAAGTCCCGGTTAAAATGTTTTTCAGTTTTTTTTTTTTTCTATTGTACAAAATGTCTTTGATTGACCTTTGTTCCATTTATCTTTTGCCAATACAACCTGCCACCAAGCCCGCCCTTAAATGGGCAAAGGTTGCCAGTGTAGTTGCAATAAAAATCTTGTGAACTTTATCCATGCTGCTTTTTTATCTCATTGGGAAAACATTGCTGTTTGATCATTTACTTTATCATGTTTTCATGGTTTGTTCTAGTGTCCCTGCTGCTCCTAAAAGACGAGGCGGTCCAGGCGGTTTAAGTAAAATTTGTGGAGTTTCACCTGAACTGCAGGTCATTGTTGGTGAGCCAAAGATGGCAAGGACAGAGGTTCTTTATTTTTCTAACTGCTAATATATTTTTTTTATCTATTATTCTAAATACATGTCTTGGCAATGCATGCTTTGTTTTTCTTGATCGAAGTAAAAGGTGCTGGTATACTGCCATTCTTTTTTCTCAGATTGTGAAGAAACTTTGGTCTTATATCCGGAAATATAATCTCCAAGATCCTAACAATAAGAGGAAGATAATATGCAATGACGAATTACGTCTGCTTTTTGAAACGGATTCTACAGACATGTTCAAGATGAACAAATTGTTGGCTAAGCACATAATTCCACTTGAACCTGCAAGTTAGTACTTAATTTATTTTTGTCTGTACCAAGTCATTATATTCTTGATGACATTTTGTATCTTTTGTTTTCTGTAGAGGAACCGAATTCAGATTCTAAGAGATTAAAGCAATGCAACAAGGAAGTCGATGTTTCACTGGAAACTCAAGCTAGTCAATATCTTGTGGTTATCTCTGATACTTTGGCTGATTTTTTTGGCATGGGAGAAAGGGAGATACTTCAGTCTGAGGCATTGAAGCGTGTTTGGGATTACATAAAGGCAAAACGCCTAGAGGTTATATTATGCCTTATGTTCATTCCATTGTTCTAATGCGTAGGTCTCTCTGCACACCATTTTAATAAACAATATCTATAATTTTCATGATAATTTGCAAATATATCATCGAATCTAGATTTGAGGTTGTCTTCTGTTACTTTCTACAGCTGACTTTGCTTTAATGTTCTCTTAATGAGATAAAGTTATGCTGTTAAGTGCTTTTGGTTTGTTACGTTTCCATACTGTTTTTTAAGCAACCTTGGTTTATGAGTCATGCCTTTTACCTCTTGAGATCTTGTAGCCATTATTGTCCCTCCCATCCCGCCCCACCATGAAAACAGCAGTTTATGTCATTTGCCTGTCCTTGTCTCCCACATGACAACTCTTTTTACTGAGGAAGGTTAATGGAACACCAATGTCATCTTTGAATTGGTCTTTAAATTGCATTGATTCATGGTCGCTGCAATTATTTTTTGCCTTTCTTAGTGAGCATAATTAATTTTTAATACTTTGGTTTAAATTATGAGGATGTACCATGGTGTATGCTTTTTGCTGATGACATCCTTTTTATGCATAAGACTAGAGAAAGAGTTCAGGATAAAATTGAATTATGGAGGTCTACATTAGAGTCTAAAAGCATTCGTTTGTGTAGATCTAAAATTGAATGCGTGGAATGTAATTTTATTAGTATTAGATCGAGTGGCAAAATTATAACAATGTGTCATTGAACCATTAAAAGGGGTGATCATTTTATATATCTCGGTTCTATTGTTTAGGTTGATGGTGATATAGATGGGGATGTTTCAAGTTGGATGGTTGAAGTGGAGGAATGCATCAGACCTATTGTGTGATAGAAAAATATCGCTTAGACTTAAAATAAATATTTATAAGATGGTGGTGAGACCTGCAATGCTTTTTGGCCTATAATGTTTGCATTTAAAAGAGAAGCATAAAACTAAGTTAAATGCTGTTGTGATGAGAATGCTTAGGTGGATGAGTGACTTGACTCTTAGAGACAAAATGCAGAACAAATATATTCGTGAAAGGGTTGGTGTAGCTCCAATTGCAGACATGATTAGAGAGAGTCATCTTAGATGGTTTGGTCACATTAAAGATTGGCCGTCTGATGGTACGGTTAGGACAGTAGATGTTTTAGAATGTAGAGTTTGTGTCAATTCAGGGTGATGGGCTGGGTTTGGGCTTTAGGAGGACCTGAAGTTGGCCGACTTGATTATGCTTGATCTGAACCAAACTTATTTATTATGTGTTAAAATATTTGATTTGAATTCAACTTGACACGAGCTTAACTAACCTGAACCCCAGTCATCTAACCATTTATTAGATAATTCATGTAATTTCTTTGGACAACATGGCCCGATTAACTTGACCCAAACACATCTAACTTGAACCTGAAGAGTAATTGGGTCAATTTTGGATTTAATCTGGTTCAGTTCAAAATTGAACCAAATGATAATTGGATCATTTATTGACACACATACTTTACCATTTGTTATTGTTCCTGTAGGCATTCTTGCTTCACATAATTGTGCTTCATTCAGCTACTAGCCACTGTATAGGAATTGTCAGAGAACCTCTCTGTGGGTCTATTGCTCTATCGTTTTACTCACATTTGAATGCTTCTCAGTCTTGCTTTAACTTTGTTTGCTGTGACTTGTCCAGGACTCCATGAATAACATGATACTGTGCGACACTAAGCTTCAGCAACTGTTTGGATGTGAAAGCCTATTTGCTTCAGATGTCTCTGAGATGTTGGCACGGCATTTGTTCAAACAATCCTAACAATTATGCGATTAACTGGTTAGATTACACTAAGATTCCTTCTGTTTCAATTATTTTTTTCTCTAATATTGGTGAATTGTTGTTTATTTATTTTTGTACATTATCATGTTTTTTTCAGTTATGATTTTGTCAGTTTGTAGCGTTGTTCTAATTTCAAGTGTTGCTTAATGCTGCAGCTGAACAAGCATAGGGTGCTTTTATAATATTTTCAGTTTTCGGAAGAAGAAAAGAATATAAAGCATTCTAGATTTTGACCATATAAGCCATTTGATGACATTGATTTGTTTAGAAATATTGTATTTCATGTTGAGCAGAATATAGGCTAAATAATTTGTTTAATATGTTAACAAAGATTTTTAGTTTAAAAAATAAAAAAAAATATGTTTTATTTAATGTTTTAAATCTTTAAAATATAATAATAAGAGAAATTATTGAAAATTAGTTTGAAACTAAACGCCAAGATTGTTGAAATCATTGACATCATGGAGACTATGGGGGGCTGTTTAGTTTGGTGTATTTGTAGTGTAAATTAAATAAAATGTTGGCGTTTTCAACATTTTGGCATTTGGTTGAATTACAACGAAATATACTTAAAAATTTTGGTGAATTTAGAATTTATCAGCAGTTCAAAAATAGTGTATTTAGAATTCGCCAAATTTTGGTAATTTTAAACTTCATTATTAAATACAGCCCACATTGCCATAATTGGCGGCAACTGCCACTGCCAACATCTGCCAGCTACTCCCAGTTAGGGACTGCAGCTCCTCGTTGGCCCTCATCATTGTTGACTGTTGTCCACTGACGACTGTAGTCGCAACTCCTAGCTTCTACGGGTCTCCTTTTTTCATCGTCCCCGGTCGGTGGTCGCTGCCGCTGCCCTCTAACGTATTTAACATTGATTTTGATTTTTTCTTTTCAAATAAAATAAGAACATAAAGGCCTGTATTTATTTTGTACTAAATCAAACAACTACAAAATATTTTGAATATAATGAATTGCTTTTATATTGCATTACTTTTTTAACAAACTGAGCAGTCCCTAAAATTTCCATAGAGAGAATAAAACTAAATTGATACCAAATTTAGAAAAATTGTTTTAAATTTCAAATTGTGGCATCTTTGCATGTTATGCAATTTCACAACTTTATTCCTCACTTAATGTAATCAATAACATACTTGCTTTTCAAGGTGCGCTTGAACTTTTTTATGAGCAAAGCTAATCATTTTGCTAGACAATGTATCAACAACCATATTATTGATTTGTATGTTGTCATGTTTTAAGGAGAAATGATGGCATATAGAAAAAGTTTATGCATCAATGTAACTAGATTTATTAAATATGAAGACTGTATAATCTAATTTGATATGAATGCATCTAAAAAAGATGGAATTTTTAACTCCAAAATTGATAAATTGGAGTTTAAGGAACTTTGGTAGAAGGTGATAGTGATGAAATATTATTACACTCATGATCTATCCAATAAAATGATTATGGGTTAGCACTAAAGAAGTTTAATAAATGGAAATTTTTAGGTCCAATAGATATTTGGATTTTGATGATTATAAGAGAGGGGTTATTTGTTAATATATTTTTTATTAACTATAAAGATTTAAATGATGCAAAGATGATTGGAGAAGAGGTGTTTTGAACTTAAATTTTAAGATAAAAAATATTTTTGGTTGTGATGCTTATAGGAGAATCAAACTTATGAGTTAGCAATGAAGTTATGGGAGACCCTAATCAAATATAAGCTCAGAAAAAATATTTTATTTTTGGAGAATTTGTTTGATTTTATTGTTTGGAAGATTTTTTTGAAGGTAATTTTTATATTGGGTGTAGTTAATGAAAAATATAGAGTAACAACAAGGGCTGTCTTATTGTTTACTTTTAAAAGAGATTATCAAGGAGCATGGAATTTATTTTGTGGGCATCAAAGAGAAAAGTTGAAGCTGTTAATTCTATATATGATGGGGAAATGATTAAATGCTAGTAGTTGTGATGATCCCTAAGTTTCCAATAGTAAGTGGAATTACATCACAGATCAATAATTAGGCCTTATCTTTTGCAATCCGTTTTTTACTAATGATAATCGTAGTAGGTGAAATTCCTTCATGAGTCAATCAATAATTTAGGGATAACTCAGATGATAAATAACATAGAATTAATAGAATTCTGATCAAATACAGGGTGTAATTCTAATACTAATGGATGTGAAATTAATAATGGTCAATGAAAATTATTGGAAGTTCATGTGATTATTTGGTTAATAAGTTTTAGTACATTTGATTTATGGAGCAAATGAATGGCCTATTCATGATGTCATAATTTTAAAGTTGAAGTTAAATGATTAAAATGAAGACGTACCATGGAGTATTATGGAATAAGAGAGCCCACAAAGGCGAATTATGGATTTTTTTAAGTTGTAATAAGAGTTTTCATTCCATATGTTTTCTAGTGCTTCACAAAAAATAGCTTTGGCAATTAAGTTGATAGAAATAAAAGACGAGAATTCCAACATTCAAGTTTGATAGAATGAGGATGAATAGAGTACTACAGGATTATATTATAAAGATAATTGGATTAACACCTATTTAAGATAAAATTTCGATAGATTGCCTTGTGTGATTTAGCACATACAATCAAGGGTTAACATGTAGTAATCAACAGAATTACTATGTGAAAATTATGAAGAAAAATTAGTAGATGAAAGGTAAAATAGCTAGAAGTTGATGAATATATGCAAATTATTGCAAATATATCAAATAGTTACTTTAAGGGAATGATGGTGATGATAAATGATATACTATAAAGTTACGACGAATCAAATTTATATTGTTGATGCATGATTTTTTTCCCTTTTTTGATGCATCATCTAAAAATCAAACAAGGAAAGCATAGCTTTAGCTACTGGTAACATTCAGTGCTTATCAAGTGGTAAATATTTTGTTATTTGTTGTTAATTATGCAATTTTATATTCGTAGGAGCACTCATGTGGTGTTGCATGTTATTCCTAACATATCAAGGAGCAGCATTTATTTCTCACACTATTTTTCTATGAGCTAATGCTATCATGCATTTTTAGTTCAAATTATCTGCTACGCTTTCTTTATTCCAGAGGAAAATTCCAACTGCATTCTGATCTTGTTAATGATTACCACAAGTCGACTTTTTTAATCATGCTAAATTTATGAAGAATTCCCAGTTTTTTGTTTTTGTAAAAAGCACACGTTTCTTAAAATTTATATTGAAGCATAATTAGTCATATCATCTTTGCAAACAAGAATACCTACAATGCTATTTACCTAATTGGTTTCTTTGATTCTAACCTAACCTATATGTTGATGATGAAGAAGATGAATAACATGAACTTGCTTGATTGTTCCAATCAATGCCATCCCTGTGAGCTTGCTCAGCCATGGCTTGCCACACAATGTCGTACATCGCTTAACTACTATTGTCAACCTTTGATTGGCCAACCAAAAGACTCATTCGTTGATCAACAAAACGAAGTTTAGTCAATGCATTAAAGATGCTGCTGGCTGACCTTGGTTGTTGATCAGCCTTTGGCTTTCCAACCACAGTTCGTTCAACAATGATCATTCAAAATGTGTGCTTGCAAGCTATGCCATCACTAAGCAGGCTTGTGGTCTGATCGCCCATTTGTGCTTGACTTTCACGTAACCCAGTTGTGCTAAACTAGCAGCTACAGATGCAGCCATCTAGGTGGATAAAATCCAGATGCATACCACAGTTGCTGTAACCCAAGCATTAGTGCGGCAATTTGGATCAGGTTTGATCAGTTCTAATCGGAATTGGTACCCAACTGATTCAGTGAAGTTCCAATGTTAACTGGCTAGAACGACATTTATTACATAACCAAAGCCATATCTCTTTTTTTTTTCATTCGGTTCCAGATCTGTTCTTAAATCCTATAGATTTCATGAGTTTGGCATTATTCTAATTTGATTTGCTTCCTTTAAGTAGGAGTGCTTATACTTTTGCTTATGTTTTCAGCAATAATAATTGAATTTTGTAACAAGTAAATTTAGTTAAACAAAATTATGTTGCACAACTCAACTGTAAAATCTACTGTTTTAAGTCATTTTCATGCAATATTAAATGAAAAAATAGTGTACAAGTATCATTATAAATCATTAAAAATGCAAATATTTATAACAAATTATTTATGATTGCTATGAGTTTTTGTTTAATTTTTATAAATACGATTTTCATTAACCCGCGAGTGCATCCCTTTGCATAGTTTCGTAGCCGTAGCTTAATAGCCAGACTTGACCTATAACTTGGAGAGCTGATCCAAATTGATTTGTTCAGTTTTTTGGATCGATTTTCAGGTCTGACCTATAACTTGGAGAGCTGATCTAAATTGATTTGTTCAGTTTTTTGGATTGATTTTTCAGGTCAATTTTTTGAGTATTTGAGTATTTTTTGCACACCCTATTGTCTGTCATAAGTCGTGCAAGCTATTTATAACTGCATACGTCGCTTTGAATCTAGCCAGTTAAATTGGGTCGTTGGCAACTTGAGCATGATTGTATTATTCAGGTTGAGTATAACCCATGCATGCTCCGGCTATAGGTAGCCCAAAGTAAGTCCATTTGGGCTGCAATCAAACCACGTATCCATCAGTTGGACTAAGCTTGAGGCAGCCGTATTCTTCATGATGGTTGGATATCGTATCCATCAATTAAAAAAAATTAAAATTTAAACAAATTTATTTGCAAGGATATACTGACAGAGTTATAACTACGGGTGATCAAATCATTAAAAGGTGTGAATGTTTTAGATATCTCGGGTCTATTGTTTAAAGTGACGATATAGATGGGGATATAGATGGGGATGTTATTAGTAAAATTCAAGTTGGTTGGTTGAAGTGGAGGAATGTATCAGGCCTGCAATGCTTTGTTGTGCAGAATGTTGGCCTTCAAAAGAGAAGCATAAAACTAAGTGTTGATGAGATGAGAATGCTTTTGTCACGAACTGTCTGATTGTCTTGGTTAATTCAACTTATTAATTTTAATTGCTTTCTTTAGTTGCTCTTTCATGAATTTGTGAATATTAAACTGTTAGTAATATAAATAGAATAGTAAAGATTTATTTTTTACTGTCTGACCGTCCCTTCTCGTCTTTATTAATTTCATGCCCTGGGTTGGATTAGGACAGCTTAGGTGGATAAGTGGCTCGACACTTAGAGACAAACCCCAAAATGAATGCATCCGTCAAAGGTTGGTGTAGCTTCAGTGGTAGACAAGATTAGAGAGAACGTCTTAGATGATTTGGTCACATTAAATGTCCACCATCTGATGATCCGGTTAAGAGGGTAAATATTTTAAATTTGACTTATATTAAGAAAGGTAGAGATAAACCTAAAAAGACTTGAGCATATTGTATCAAAAATGATCTTAATTTGTTAGAATGAAATGAAAATATGACACCCAATAGGACACAATGGAGAAAAAGGATCCATGTTGCCAACCTCTCTTCGAGGCTCGTTGTTGTTTCTGTCTTAGACAACTTAAAGGACTTGATTACCATTGAATATCCACAGAAGTGTAAAGCTCATTAGAATTATTTAAGATTTTCTCTTTTTTTTTTTTTGTGGTCTGATATTGTTTCTTCCATAGCATTGCTTCTAGTTAAACTTAAGTGGCTTTCTACTCTTTTGGTGCAGATGTGAAGTTTCAGTGGGTATCTAGGCAGTCTAACAGTATAGGAGATACTGATGACAAACTGAACCAGGTGCTTGTTTTTTTTTTCTTGATTTTTTTGTAGTTTTATGTTGTATTTTAATCATGTTAAGTTTAAAAAGATGATTATGGTTAACTTATAAAATCAACTTTTAGTCTTTTTGAAGAGGAGCTGTGTGAATAGGAGCAACCTTGTTTCTCTTTCACTCTTGGGTTTATAAATCTTATCATATGATGCTTTTGAGTTGGGGTGACATGTATTCAAATTCTTTGGAGCTGTTGCATTCATAAACCTTGCACAGGAATGCACCTTGATCATCATTCCAACTATAAGTGCCAAAAAAAAAAAAAAAAACATTTGGTTTATTGTCGTGTTTTTGTATATCTTCATTTTGTAATTTTTCGGACCTAATTTCATTGGTAAGGGTAAGTTAGGGGTGTGAGTCAAGCTGGTTCATGGACCAGTTTGATAAATTGCTCGTGAACAGTGCTCGATGACCTAACAAGCCAAACTGAATGACTAGATAGCTCATAAGCCTGCTCGTTTAAAAAAATATATATTAATATAAAATATACAAAAAAAATATATTAAATTTGAAGGTTTTATATTTTATATTAAATATTTTATTATTATTTTTTTCTCTTAATTGCTCATTATATTTGTCATTTTATTATAATTCTATTCTAAATTGATATTATTTTCTCTATTTTATAACAAACTAGCTAGCTTGTGGGCCAGTTAAAACTAATAGACTTAGCTCGAGCTCGAATTCAATAAAATTAATTAAGCTCGAGATTGAGTTTAGGGTGACTCGGCTTGACTCGACCGTTCACAAATTCTCGACTTTTCAAGTCTTTCTTATATTTGACATGAGTCTTTCTAGTTTGCCATTTCTCAGAACTTTCTTGCTGATTTGCTCACTTGGTTACTTCATATTATAAATTCCCCTCTATATTATCCTGGTGAGCTAAACGAATATCTACAAATCTTCCAATTGTAACCCCATCATTCGTCCAATTAGAGCAGTAGAAATAGAGAAGACTTTAAAGTGACCTCACTCTATGATTAGAGAAAAACAACAATGCTACATCCAATTATAGTACTCTAGACATTGAGGAAGGCTTGTGTAGACCTTGACTCAAAGATAGGAAGGAAGAATCCAAGAAATGTGGAAAAATTAAAGAAAAGGAGAGCGGATGCTCGTCAGTAAGGTTTCGTTTGAAGTAGCTTCGGCGTCACCATTCAGTAAATTTTTTTTGAAAATCTCGTTCGTTAAATGAAGGAGACCAGCTTTGATCTGAAATGATAAAAATTTGTCGTTCTTGCAAAGGAACTTTAGGAGATGTTCGTATCTCGCTGCTTCAACAAACAAAAATTTTCTTGGGGGGTTGGCGGTTACTGCAACCGAACTGAACTTTACCGCATTCTCAAACGGAGCCTAATCCAATTAAAACAAAGGTTTGTTTGCAAGGGCTTCTTCCCACCTTGTGATATCTCGGTGCCGCCTCCTCTCGGGTAACTTCTCTTACCTATAATTCAAATAATTAGTTATTAATTGAATACATTAAAATTTTTATAATAAATGATTTTACCTATATAGTAAAATAATTATAATTTTAAATTAATATGAGATTTTTTAATGAGTTTTTTTATTAAGTTTTATTCTACAATTCGTTTCGAACTGATATCACTAGTCATACAAAAGTATATGTATCTCTGTGTGTGTCTCTCTCTCTATATGTGTGTGTGTGTGTGCGTCTAGGGTGGCAAGTTGGCAGACAACTGTATTGTCGGTCGTAAGAGTCTTCTGACCCGCGTTCGATCTCTACGGGGACAACTAACACATTTAAAGAGCGGTATTTCAAAATACCACATTTTTAAATATGTATATATAAGATTAATAAGAAAAATACATGTGCTGGTGGCTTAGGTTTAGCTCATTCAACTAAATTGAAATTTATTTAAATATAAAAATTAGATATGATATTATAGATAAACTACGAACTCTAGTCCCTTTTAAAATTATATATCTCATTGGAAGTATGCTGCGTTACAAGTATATTCATATTTTTTAATTATATATATATATATATATATATCAAACAGAAGAAAAGTTCAATATTCATATTTTTAATAATATATATCATTGTCAATCAAGTACTTTCTCACGTTGTCTCACTTTACAGAAGACACGTTCTTTGAATTTTATCTCCTCAGCATTCACGCAATGCGGTGCCGCCATGCGATACATGGTGGTGTGGTCTCATTAGGATTAGTCTTCGGATTTGTGATCCGCCGCACCTAACATTTTCTCGTGTAAGTCCGCTTCAACTCATTCAACTAGGCATTTTAACAGCACGAATTTGAAGATGTGAACAACCAGAAATGTGGTAAATTTTAACTATTTTACTTTTATTCATTTTCATAGCGACTCTTTCATATATATTAAAATGTTAATTATAGAATAAATTTAATGTTTTCACTGTCCGACCGTCTGTACCCGTCATGTTTAAGTTTGAGCCGAGCCGTGACAAAAGTTTTATCAGAGCAAGGTTTAGGATTAATCAATACCATCTTGATGAAGAGCCAATAGGGTAATTACAAGAAAGCTTTAACAATAATAAAACTTAAAATATAAATTAACACTAATTAAATAATTATTTTAATTCAAGTAAATGGATGCACCAGAGATTCAAGAGAGAAAAATGGTAGAAAATGAATAAGTATCGCCTGTTGTTAATGTTAATATAAATGTTTTGACCTAGATGATGGCGACGATGACTCGACTAATTCAGGAGGTCGGATCACAACATGTTGGAAGTGATATAGTTATGGCGGATGAGTACTTGAAAATATTTCAAGATCAACATCCACCTTTAATAAAGGGAACTGGTGATCTAATTGAAGCGGAGAACTGATTAATTAAGATAGAAAAGATATTAGATAACATGGTGTGCCATCACGAAAAAAGAATATATTTAGCTTCATTTGTGCTGGCTGGAGAAGCCGAAAGGTGGTGACATAGATAGTGTTTGGACAAGTTAGGGGACATTCCCAACATGATGATAAGTTGGTAAGATTTTGTTGAACTTTTTAAAGAGTAGTTTGTACCCTTATTCGCTTGAAGACAAATGTAAGAAAAGTTCATCAACTTGGTGCAAGGAGAGAAGCAGTTATGCAGTATGAAGCAGAGTTAACTACATTATCAAGAAAAGCTCCACAACTGATAGCTACTACATATAAGAAGAGTTACAGAGTTCTCTTGGGATTAAAGGATTCAATCAGACAACCGTTGATGCTTTTGGGGATCAATGATTATTAAGTGTTAGTGGAGCAGGCTAGACTTGTATAGATTGATTTTTAGCTTATTCAAAAACGTACAGAGATACATAAGAGGAAGAGCGTGTTTTTGGATCAATCAGAAGATTTCAATGTGAGGAAGCCCAAATTTAGTTCTGATAGATCCAGTGGTGGCACTTCTCGTAACCATAGTCACTTGTGTCAAATGTGGAAAACAACATAAATATGAATGATTGATGGGATCACATACATACTACTGGTGCCACGAACCTCGTCATGTAGCCAAATGCTGCCTTTCACTTAACCAAAAAAACATGAGAAGAACAAAAATCAATTGGAGCTCCTTCATAAAAGACTGGAGGTGGGCAGAGAAGAATAGAATCAACAGCTTTAACTCCTACCCAAATTCAATCAGGACAGCCAGTTTGACCTCGAGTTTACTCTCTTACCAGTACAGAGCATGAAGAACCTACCGTTGATGTTGATGCTATTAGTGATTAGTGAGTTTTAAGTTTTATCACATTTTATAGGATGTGTGGTCTTGCTACTTTACCTTGCTTCATGGATGATGTTATCTTGTTTCTATTGATGGAGAAAGTTTAGTTGAGTTATTTTGTCAATGTTCGTCACCTTGCAATTGGGTTTTACATTAAACTTATTTACTTTAAACCAAACACATAAAATTAATATCTTTGTGGTGCCACTATAGTTTTTCTCATTAAGAATTTGTTAAAATTGTAATATATAACATCTAAAAATTCAAATCATTTTTCATCAATCAAACCTCAATCTAAAATTCATCAAAAAAAATAAAGATATTTAAATGAATTTTTATATATCTGTATTAAATATCTATAGCTTTAAAATCATTTATGTAATATTAGAGTATGCTTGTGTTCATATCTATGTCTGTGTGTCTATATATATATATATATATATATATATAATATAACTCTATATTTTTTTCCAACAAAGCAAATGGTGTTGGATGAAGCCCGATTCATGACCCCAACTCCCACTCCCACTCCCGTCTTCCTGCTTCTGCTCCTTTCTCGTTTCGCGAATCGGCGCCAATCTTGTCGCGCCTCCCTCTTCGTTCCCGTTTTTTCTGCTTCTGCGAAGCGAAGCATCTCTTCACTTGTTTTAAGTCACGAACAGAAGAGGAAAAAAGGATTGTGAGGTATTGTAGGGCTCTCCTTGAGATTTTGCACGGCCTTTTTGTGTTCTTCTTCGGGCTTCCTAGGGACAGAGGAAGAGAAGTGTAATCAGTAGTTCCTTGCAGCAAAAGGAAGAAGAAAGAAGAAGAAGATTGTTCTCCCTTGGCTTCTTCTTAGTGGCTTGTGGCAGAAGAGAAATTGAGTTTATTTCTCTTGTAAATTTATCTTCTTCGGTGTATCTCAGTGTAAAGAGAGAAGAAGAGAGAGCAACGAAGTAAGAGATCCCTCTTGTAAGTCGAGACGATTGACTGATGTAAATTCCTCAAATAGTAAAATCCTCTGTAACTCCGTGGACGAAGGGAATTTTTTGAACCACGTAAATTTGTGTGTTCCGTTGTGTTACAGTTTTATGGTGTGAATTTTCTCGTTCTATTTTTCGCTTTGTCGTCAATCGTTATATATAATAGAACGATTGACGACAAAGCGAAAAATAGAACGAGAAAATTCACACCATAAAACTGTAACACAACGGAACACACAAATTTACGTGGTTCAAAAAATATTATATATAACGATTGACGACAAAGCGAAAAATAGAACGAGAAAATTCACACCATAAAACTGTAACACAACGGAACACACAAATTTACGTGGTTCAAATATATATATATATACACACACAGACACACACACACACCACAACAACTGGTATCAAAGCTTTATTCGTATTTGAGGAAGAATGATGGTTGCATATGAAGTGAATGTTTCAGAGATCGAGAAATTTGATGACACAGAT